TCCCACCCTCCTCTCGGAAATCGTCGGGAACGAAGCGACCGTCCAAAGACTCGAATCCTTTTCCCACACTGGAAATGTTCCCCATATAATTATAGCGGTTTGCGGAAGAATTCCATCAATAATATTTTGCCATACAATGTTTAGGGCCCTCCGGGTTGTGGAAAAACAACCAGCATTCTTTGTTTGGCAAGGGCTCTTCTAGGCGATGCATACAAAGAGGCAGTTCTTGAACTGAACGCCTCTAACGATCGTGGCATTGATGTTGTGCGTAATCGTATCAAGATGTTTGCTCAAAAGAAGGTCACACTCCCACCTGGTCGGCAGAAGTTTGTTATCCTTGACGAGGCTGACAGGTAAGACTTCCGTCGTATAAATCCTCGAAATTCCCCTCTTATTTCGGGTCATATAAATTGCTTCGTTTGCGATTTTTGGACGTCTATTTTCTGTCCTAGTATACGTTTGTGTGCGCCTACGTTCAGATCTGTTTCTTTGTTATCTACGCCTGTCCCAGCTAACTTGCCATTACTGACATTTCTGAAGTAATCTGACTGTCCAATACCTATTATCTAATCTAGGTGGTTTCCTCACATGCTATTAATATCCAACGCTTTGTCTATAATCGTAAGCAATTTGATTTGCCAAAGACAGCGATTGAAGAACTTATCGGGTTGTCGCAATCACATACACCTTTCAGGATAAGTTAACTGCACTCTCGTTGGTGAGAATTCTCATGAGACGGAAATACGAGTTCCAGGAAGCAGTTAAGATGAAGAAAGTGTGATCACTGACGCATGTGTTTTGTTCTTAGCTGCTTCCTGGGATTCACAGGTTAGTTTGCTCCGTGACATCTACTGTTGCCTGAGAATCGGCGAGCTTTTAGATTAGTGAGGTCAACAGATGATTGCTCTTGCTCGTTTTCTCTTTACTTCAAGTACTCCCTTGACGTTTCCACTTCAGAGGAAAAGGTCTCTTAAACTGGGCATAACAATCGATTTCATGTCTTTACGCAGTGCTGTAGAGTGCTTGAATTCTTCCGAAAAAACTTCGAAGTAACTAACCTATATGTCCTCTCGCTGTCTCGTTGCAGCATGACAGAGGGCGCTCAACAAGCCCTTCGTCGAACAATGGAGATCTTCTCGCGAACTACTCGTTTTGCTCTTGCCTGCAATGATTCCTCAAAGATAATTGAACCCATCCAGTCGCGTTGTGCCGTACTACGATATGCCAAATTGACGCCCGTTCAACTAATGGCTCGTCTTCTACAGG